TGCTTAACTTTGTGGTTCGCCCAATGACTCGGTGTACATTTCATGCAAACAGGAGCCGAAGCGTCACACAGTTACGCACCTTCGATTAATACAATTGTCGTTTCACTAGAACGGTTTTCTCCACGTGTGGTATTGGCTTGGCATGGTTATTAACGTACCTCCGACGTGAGCATGTGCGGGTTCGAACGAGCACAAACATCATTAATTGCTGCATGTATCCATTTTCGGGAAGAAGAAAAATCGCTCATCGTCGTGTGCATGGTACATATAACGGAACCTAGAAAAAGCTAGGGTTTCCATGGCTATCCTTGCCTCATGGGAGATATGGAAGGAACGGAATATGAGGTGTTTCAGAACAGAAGTACTTGTCAGTCACATAGAAGATAAAGAACTCAAGTCTAAATTTGGGCTAGCAGTCAACAATTTTGTATTTTACAAAATAACCTTTGCATGTCATTTTCCCTAGGAGGTCAAATGAAAATTAAAGAGAATATTTTATCCAAGTGGGTGTCTGTGTTAATGACAAGTAGTGGGGGGCTTATGTTGTGCATGAATTGTATGAATAACAATAATCCCGGGGAAATGGAAAGGAAGGTGTTCAAAGAACCCCTTAGCAAAAAGGGTAGAAGAAGATGATGATTTTAAATTTAAGTTGCTAATGTTTAAGTGTTTACTCATAGGGACGTCGTATTGGTTAAGGAGTGGGAATTATTCTTAAAGCACTTCACAAATACATTCAGTGTGCTTCAAGAAAATCTATCGTAAATCCCTTCTAAGAAAGTTTTTTTTTGTTTTCTCTATGCCCCAGACCTACAGTGGTTCTAGACTTTGAGTTGTGCTCCAAACTACCTAGATTTAACACTTGATAGCCTAGCAATTAGTCCAGAGATCCTTGGAGCTCCAGAACTCTATAATGGCTTGGACCTCTGAATTGCTAGGTTAGGTGTTGGATAACCTAGAATTTATGGAGAGATTAGGACTCCCAGACCCTCGAAACTTTGAACTCGGCCTCTGAGATAGCATAGAGACATCCAAGGGTTAGATTTCATGAAGACACATATGTATATACCCTTATGTCCCCAATGGTAGGAAGATTCTTCCACAAAGACTCAAGCTCCCATCTAAGTGAGGAGAAGAAAAGTTTGCGCAGATTGGGCAAAACTTTGATCCCCATTGGAGTTTTTCACCGGGCTTGTAACTGATGAAGTTGTGGGGACTCCTGGATGTCTTAGTCGCTGGGGAACATCCAATCTTGTGGATTTTTCCCTAGATGTTTGCGAAGGTTCTAGAGCTCCTCAAGATCACCTTCTTATTAGATGAGCTCAAACATTCTGCTGAAATTCAAGAAGAAGAAGGGTAGGCCTTCGTGGTGATGGGACATGGTCTCCATGCCTCTCCAACGGATACGTAGAACCTTCCCTCCCTCTTCGACCAAGGATTTGAACTTCGGGTCTATATCATGTCTCTATGTGCTCTTGGTTGATTATATTATTTTTCCTTCTACAATGGCAACCCTAGCTTTACCTAGTGTGCTATTAGAATTGCTAGAATTCTCACACCATTTAGGGGTGTTCAACTAGACTTGCATTCTAGTGAACTCCTTAATTATGCAATTTCACCGACAACTATTTTTGGTAAAACTGTTAGTCGCATATTCACCCCTCCTTCTAGTTGACACTCTTAATTCTTCTGACAAAGAGTGCACAAAATCTATGGTTGTTGTACTTAGTGATGTATTTGTCATGTTGTATGATAAAAAAATACACTCATGTTAGTGATTTACTTATTGAATTGCGTCACAATTTTTGCAAAAGTAGAACGGTAACTACTTCTTATTATGCTTACTTACCGCAACTATGACAATATAGTGATTAGATTATCTACTAATAGTTGTGAACATGGCAGTTGTGTACTATAATGACTCATCGGCTTTCATGGTGTCTTGTTGTAAAATAGAATCGTAACTAGTGCATTACCGCTTGGTAATAAAAGAGTTCGAGGCAAAAAATGTTTACTGAAACCCACGCTTGTTAAAAATCAATTGTGAATCGAGTATACAGTTTGAGCTAGAGAACATTTTCATTTGCGAATAACATTTCAACTTATCTTTATAAATATTCATTTTGTGGATTTGCTAATTGGCAGGTACGGTCACCACTCTCGCGCCTCCTTCACATGCGCATCAAATCCACCAATTTGACTTCTCATCTCACATGCCTTATCTCCCGCGCACACAACACTTATTTCATCTCTCTAACACTTTGTTTGCCACCATGTAGACGGTGACAAACCAGCGAGGCCCACCTCCTGTGTCTATATCACTCGTACCTTTAAATTTAAATTTTTGGAAGCTTGAAATTTCAAATTACAAACCTTCATAATTTCTGAAAGTTTGAAATACTCCAAAAGTTCAAAACATTTGGAAGTTTCAAATGTAGAAATTCTTAGAAGTTTACAGTTTTTAAAGTTTGAATTTTCATAAAAATTGAAATTTTCTCAAAATTTTGAAATCTCTATTGAATTCATGCTCCAACCAACTCATTCAAAAGTCCGAACTGATGGAGGGAGGCGGGCAATATATTTCAACACCCCCCCCCCCCTCACGTCTGGACTATTTTAGTTCTTAGACGTGGGATCGATGTAGACCGCAGAATTATTTTATTTAATACTGTGTTGACAGGGTCTTGAACTCAAGACCTCTTGGGTCGGATACCATATTGAATTCATACTCGAGCCAACTCATCCAAAAGTCCGAACTGATGAAGAGAGACGGGCAATGTATTTCAACAATCTCAACATCTTGAAAGTTGTCCCTCGGAAGTTGTCCAGAGTATTTATTGGAAGCCATGGATGAGGGGTAAAGAGGTGGGGTTATCTGCATGCAGGAGGTAAGGCAGTTTTCGCATGCAGTTTTTGTTGGACAATGTTTACCTGGTCGAAACTTAGGAGAACATTAGTATAGAAGAGTCTAGAACAAACAAGAAGTATATGTATTTTGTGCCTTTTCTGCATTGTATGTAATAAAATAAAATAAAATATCAATTCTTTAGGAAGAGGAATATTGGACAATTAAAGTACTTCATCGGTTTCTTTTTACTCCGCACATAAGATTTGTCTTAAGTCAAACGTTGTAAAGTTTGACCAAATTTAAAGTAAAAAATATCAACATCTACAATACTAAAGATATACAACATAAAAGTTTATTCCATGATGCATTTAGTGGCATTGAATTGATATTGTGAGTGTTACTCCCTCTATCTCAGCTTACAAATCATGCACGTGTATCTAGGTTGTTAATTTAACCAACTTAATAAGAGTATGCATTACAAAAAATATATCATTAGAAACTTTAGATATTCTATTTTCTAATGATATGATTTTTATGTTAAACAATTTATTTTATATAAGTTAAATTGATGACCTAGATACACGTGCAAGCCTTGTAAACTGAGACAGAGGGAGTAATATTTTTTCCCCTTTCTTCCCTTTTTTCTAGAACCTCTTGCTCAAGTCAGGCTTTCTTCGATACACCCACTTGGAAACATTTGAAAAGCAGTGGCCTTAGTCTGTTAGCAAAACACTTTGCAACTATTTTGAGTAATACTCCCTCTGTGAAGGCGGAGTTCGACGACGACGACGCGGCCCTACAATGGGCGCGTCAGGACTCCATTGCGATGGAGAAGACGCACCGGGAGAAGGAGAAGGAGCACCAGCGCGCCGCCCTGTGCCGCTTCGAGGAGCGCCGACGCGACCGCGATAAAGACGGGGTCGTCGTCTTATGCGACAGCGACGACGACGATGACGCGCCGCCGCCAGTCCGCCATGGCGACGCCGGGCAGGGGTTCAGCAGGGGCGCCCGCGTCAAGGAGGAGAAGGCCGACGACGAAGATGGCGGCGACGGCGGCGACGACTGCAGCCCCTTTCTTTTTTAGATTAGGTTAATGGAATGAAAATGCGCGAATTTCACCGAAATTTGCCATGTTTGCCGAAATTTAACTAGTTTTTATCATAACTTCGTCGAACGGTCCTTTTTTTTATTTTAATACGCGCCTGGGGCGGCCCTGGGGGCCGACGGCTGGGGACCGACTCGCCCCAGGGCCATTTTTTGCGCCGGCTCACTCCCAGGCGACGCTTTTAGACGCCCCCCGGAGGGCCAACGGCTGGAGATGCTCTAAGGAACATGCTACTGGCGTAGTAGTGCTTAATCACTCATAATTTCTTTCTCTGTCTTGGTCCTTGAACGAAGCAGCGAGAAAGGATGGGAGCAGGAAACGCCGGGTCAGAGCTGCCTGTGTTTCCTCCGGGTTTCCCTTAGGCATCGCCGTTACAGGAGCTCAGTTCTGACCGCCCAGAGCGAAGTTTAGAAGCTAATTACTTGCTTGTCCGTAATGACTACTTTCTCCGTTTCGAATTACTTGTCACAGGTATGGATGTATCTAAATGTATTTTAATTCTAAATGCATCCATTTGTGCGACGAGTAATTTGAAACGGAGGGAGTAATACATTGAAGACTCACTCAAAGGGCAGTCAAACCTGGACCTTCCGGTCCTGCTGCTGAAGAAATGGAGACCAGGAGTGAGCTTTTCTTCAGCGAAGGGCTCCCAAAGAAACTGTCGTAGATGAAAACAGCAGATATTTTACACAGCACGCTGTAGTTTTTCAGACGTTACACATCAGGAACGTGCAGTCAAAACAAGGCCCTTCCTGTCCTTCTGCTGAATTAACGGAGAGCAGAATGGAACTGGTTGCCAAACGGAACTGCCGCTGACACCACCCAGTAGATGCAAACAGCCAATGAGCTTAGTCAGGCAAACCTAGATATACCATATATATTTATGCACACACATAATTTACAGCAGGGCACGCGTAGTTTCACACGGGTTACACTTTCACAGCGTGGCAGCAGCTTCACTGTGCCGAGGTCAGACCTAACACGACGCAAATCAATCGACCGAATTTACATACAGACAGACTAAAACAAGCGCTAACTAGTCAGCCATCATGTCGGCACGAGATCGCCGAAGCGGGCAGAGTCCTGGGCGAAGAACATCTTGAGGGAAAGGAACAGCATGATCAGCTGGAGGAGACCGAAGAGGCCGATCTTGAAGGTCTTGCTTTGCATCCTCAGGACCTCCGTCGTCACCGACAGCTCCTTCTCGTGGGCCTCTAGTCTGTCCACCTGCTCTTTCAGCATCACAATCTTCTTCTCCGTGTCTTGTAGCTTGAGCAACATCGTCGTGTCATCTCCGGCGGAGAGCCTGTGCTCCTCCAACGCGATCTGGTCCTCGGCCCGGGCTTGCCAGTTTTGCCTCGCTTTCACCATGACCAGACACTGAATCTCGGCTTCGATTTTGTCCTGAAGGTGGCTTTCAAGCTCGGTCTCCAACTCATCAATGTTGACGGGCTCCGTCTGCAGCGTTGGTGTATGTGCACTGTTGATAAGTGACTGGAGCTCGGATAATCTTGAATCCTTCTCTGTGATAGTATCTGACGCTTCTTTCAGTTTCTGTTCAAGACATTCCATCTTTTGATTCATCCCCAGTACATCAGCCTCTATATAAGGCAAACCTATGTTGCCATCATGTGAATCCTCAGCCACAAACTCCTTGCCAAGTTCTGACAATTTCAGCATCTCTGAAAAAGAACACAGGTAGAACAAACCACTTATTACAGGTAATTCAACAGAATCGCACACAATAGAGGCCAGAGGGATGAAAACCTAACCAGTATACATAGGAATAACACAGTTATAACCAAGGGTGATGGGAGTTAAATGATTCCTTATAACATGAAGTAGCCGAAAAAACACTTCCAGAAGTGCATGCATTGGTATCCACATAACACATAAACCTAGTTATGCTGTGAAGAGTTCGTTTACAAAATTATGTCATGACAAAAAACTTTCAATATTGTGCAAGGATTCTTAACACGGTCAGAAATCTTCACGGCATGACATTCAAAATAAAAATAAAAATACCATAACATAATTGTTTAACAGTGTATTTATCCATTAACATCACTCAATAAGACATAAATGTATTGCAAGGACTGGAGCTGTAACTAACTATTACCACATAAACCTGGATAAACTACCTATCGCCCTTAAATTAGTAGTCAATTGCCCAGTAAAGATCAACAGATTTCTTACGAAATCTGAAACATAGCAGCATCAGGTTGTAAGGGGCTATTGATACCGCTCAGCATAGGTTAAGTTCCAAAAGCAATTAAAGATTGCAAGCACTTACCAAAGTATAGTAGTAAACCAAACAAGCTATCATAGTCTGTCGATGGTTCAAAAGCACAGTGGGAAAAGGTGCCTATTGATTACTAGTACTACACAGTAACATGAAAAAGAAAGTGCATAACATAACAAAGAAAAGAACATACCACTTTCAAGATCTTCATTTTTCTTGAAGAATTTTTCAAGAACTTCTTGTGCTTTCTCAAGCGAAGAAGCTGATTCAGCAAGAGGATCCTCCTCTTGGGGCACCCAACTCCACTCATTTTCTTCATTTTGCTCTTCGGTTTCATCCAAATTTACAAAACCCCTTACCACGTCCTCATCCCCTGCACTGAACTTTTTGTATGCTGACTGAACCTCCTCACTTTGCCGATCCTCACTTTGAGACCCATCGTAACTCATCGACATTGTTTGATGCCTGTTGTTGCTAAAAGCATCACCTGCATCAGATGCCATCAGGTAAGATTCACCGAAGGAAGTCTCTCCCTTGGTCCTAATAGCCCGTCGACGTGTCTTGCAACCTACTCCACCCAAACAAAAATCCTTCACCCTAATCCTTTTCCCCTTCCGATGTCCATCTATCATTGACCCCACTAAGAATTTTCTTGCAATAAAGCTGGGACTTAATATCCTTTGGTCTATATTCTTTGATACTATCCCTAATGAGTAGCCAGTGGCTAGCACCAAGAAATTGACATCTAGATCTAATGGGTTGACTCTTAATTCCCTCCCCAATCTTCTCCACCTCCTTGGTCGATATGCTTTCCTTGGTGATGTGTGGACAAGATACTTTCCTTGTGATGGTAAGCATGGCAGAGCTAACTTGTGCGCAACAGCATAGTCGTCGAAAGGCGACTTTGGAAGAAATCCACTTGGATTCTGCTCCCAAGCAGCACGATTCAAGCTAGAAGCAATTTTAGCCTGTGTACACTGCAATTCGGTTAAATCCCCCCCTCTAATCCCAACGGGAGAGGAATTTAGAAGCAGCCTTGCAGGCTGCTGGCCCAAATCCCTGCCCCTAGCTGTAAACCCCAAATTATCCATACTAATTCCAGAATCCTTAACCACAACCGGTCAATCCTACGCGAAAGAAGAAGAAGCTCAATTCGGCCACACGCAGCTAGATTTCTAGGGTTTGGCTATGATTCTCCTAACAAACACCCCAATTTATACGCCTGGTGGCAGCAAGAGTATTTCGCACCCCGAGGAATCCCCGGGCGGGGCGGCAAATCCCAGAAACTACCCCACAAGCTGCCATCCGCACCAAGAATGGTGCGCCCCAGGCGAAGTTTCCATGGAAAATCGCACCGAATTGGAGGAAGCGGAGGGAAAATTACGTACCTTGCGCGACGAAGCTTCGCGGGGCGGGGATTCGGGTGCGGCGGCGGATGAGTGGAAACTAGGAACACCGGAATGGAGGCGGGCGGCGTATATATATGTAGAAGTATTCCTGGGGGAATTTCCGTGAAGTGGCGGACAAGTCTGCGCGCGCTAGGAAGAAGGAGAGGAAAGCACGAAACGAAGAAAGGAGAAGGGATGTTTGTCCGGGAAGTTATCTTTCCTTTTCTCCCGGTGAAGACGCTAGGCCTAGGCGTCAGAGGGAGCGCCGACCGTCCGATCCCATTCAGGCCCTCTCTGATTTGTGAAAGGCAGAAATGGAAACAAGAAATGCAGGAAAAGAATGCCATGTGCATGAAAGTTTGATTGAGGACAGGAAAACAGAGGAATTTTCACATGAGATTGGAGTGGATGAAAATATTTCTGTGAAATCTAGAACAAATGAATCCTAACGAATTCTTTTTACGGATTGCATTCATGTGAATAAAACAATGCACGTAGAAGAAAAATCCTAAGAATTGAATCCTTAAAAAATTCCTTTATAAATCCTTTGTACTCCCTTTGTCCCAAAATAAGTGACTCAACTTTATAGAAGTAGAGGGACTATCAAAGAGGCCCTCAATCTTTTATTGTGAGTATGCTCCTATTTAATTTGTGATTTTGGCACGTCTAATCACCATCAAAGAAATCTCTCCATGCATAATAATGTTTTCTATGTATATGCAACTTGTTTCTCTTTTAAACAGTCACCAAGGAAAGATTGTCCACCTGAATATATTTTTAAAAAATTGATCCAATCTATAAGGAAAAAACCACATCAAAAACAAACACAAAGTGGTCCATTTAAGGACGAGTCATGGAGCCGGCTCAATGGTTCAGTAGTGGTTAGCCTCATATCCCATTGGGTAACATGATCTGACCCATTTTTAATACTATATTTACACTACTACAAAAACAGCTATAGCCAATATGGACACTAATAGCGCGATGTACATGTGATGTGCCATTACTAAATACTAATGGTGCACCATGTGTTGGTGCACCATTAGTGTGCAAATACTAATGGCACACCACATTCACGATGCACCATTAGTAAAAAAAATTAATTTTTTTTCAAAACTATTAATGGCGCACCGTGGGAGTGGTGCGCCATTACCACTCCCACGGTGCGCCATTAGTAATTATGTTTCAAAAAAATTTCAATTTTTTTTATTTTTATTTTTAAACTACTAATGGCGCACTGTGGGAGTGGTGCGCCATTAGTAATTTGGCCCAAACATTCCCCCGAATGCACCCCCTCACCCGTGGACCGTTTTTTTAGTTTCAGAAAAAATAAAAGAAAATGATAGAAATATCAAAAAAATAAAATAAAATAATATTCTCATGTGATATGTGGTCTAGTTGTTAGCAAAATTTACAAACATGAATTTTCAATTTTTTTGTAAAATCTCTCGAGAATTGTAAAAATGGGCATAACTTTTGCATACGAACTCGGATAAAAAGGTTTCTTATATAAAAATCATCTACTTGAAAAGTTACATCCGAATTTAACCGGGGGAATTCCGTTAAACATTTTCAAAATCCTCAAAAACTAACAGAAAAAAAGATACGGGGCTTTTAAGATCTGGAGAGGCAAAAAAATTCAAACTTACTAATGGCGCACCTGCCCATGATGCGCCATTACTATCTTCCCGCCTTCAAAATTCAAAATAAATCAAAATAATAATAATAATAAAAGTTACTAATGGCGCACCTGCCCATGGTGCGCCATTAGTATCTTCCCGCCTTCAAAATTCAAAATAAATCAAAAAAATTAAAAAAATAGTAATGGCGCATCTGCCCACGGTGCGCCATTACTATGCCGTATATATGGCTGGGCGTGTCCTCTCCTCCTTACCTCTTCATTCTTCTCCTTTACTCCATCTCTCCTCCACTCTATCTCCTCCTCTCCTCCACTCCATCTTTCCTTCTCTCCTCCACCATACTACCCTCCTCCTCTCTGGCGACCTCCTCCTCCTCCTCTCCGGCGACCTCCTCCCTCCTCCTCTCCTCCCCTCCCCTCCCCTCACGGTTTCTCCCCCCTCCTCTCCGGTGAGCTCCTCCTCCCTCCTCTCCGGTG